AAAAAAAAAGAAAGAAAAGAAAAAAAAAAAGCCTCAGATCATGATCTTATGGTTGGTGAGTTTAAGCCCTGTGTTGGGCTCTGTACTGACAGCGCAAAGCTTGCTTGACGTTCTCTTTCCTTCTCTCAAAATAAATTTAAAAACTTAAAACAAAAAACAAAAAACAGGGGTCAGGGTCTCACTCAAGTTAGGGTCCCAGCATCACTCACGTGGTGTCCAGAACGCAGGTCACTTCAAGGTGCGGCAGTCTAGACTCCTCTCGAGTGCCACCGACCCAAGTATTTCCCAAGTCCCTGGAGCTTCTCTCGCTTCCCAAAGACTAGTGCTGCCTCGTTTTGGCTCAGAGCACTCTGGATTGAGATCTCCTGTCCTCTCCCCAACCAAACTGAATTATGACTGGCTTCCCAGTGCCCGGGAAAGTGCCTGTTCTTGAGAGCAGCTGAGTGAAAGGGACCGAAGAGAGAAGAAAAAGCATCGCAGGAGAAGGAACAGCGTGGCAAAGGCCTTCGGTGGGAAAGGAGCGTCTCTACGGGACAGGAGGCCTGGGTGGTGAAGTGCAGCCAGGGCTGGGGGTAGACAGGTAACCCGGCCTGGGTGGGGCTATAAAGCTGAGAAGGTGACATCATCAACCTGCCTCTCTCTAAACCCTGCCCACTCACTGCCACCTCAGAGTGGCACCCCGAATCCGTTCTGCCTCCGCCTTCTCTCTCCATCCAGCCAAACCACATACCCCAGCCGCCTGAGTTCTTCCTTACACCCCCGCGTCCTGCTGGCTCAAGCCCCGAAGACAACCTGAGGCTGACAGCACTGTGGTCTGAGCCAATGTCCCCACTTGTCTCCTAACTGGTCTTCCTCCTTGCATTCCTGTTCCCACTACAATCCCATCTTCAATCAGCACCCAGGGACTTTTTCAAAACGCAGGGTGGGTCATGTTGCTCTGACGCTCAAAACCTCCCATGGCTCCCTGTGGAACCTGGAATAGGAGCCAAATTCCTTCCCACCTCAGGGCCTTTGCACCTCATGGTCCCCCTGTCCAAATCTTTCTTTGCATGGCTGACTGCTCTGTCAAATGTCACTTCCCCAGAGAGAGGATTTTTGATTATTCCAGCTAAAGAAACAGGCTACCCTGTTTTATTTCACTTCGGATAAGGTATCAAACCCTGAAAGCGTTGCTTTATCGTTATTATTTATCACTTGTCTACTGTCTTCTCCTGAGCCAACGACTTTCTCTGACTTTCGGGCTGTAGCCTCTGCTTTTAGAACAGTGCCTGGCACGGAGTATTCAATATTTAGAGAATAAAGCATATCAGCATGCCACCACGTGCACCAATTCAGTCTTCCACTGCGTCCGGGATCCCGTCGCCCCAAAGATCCTCCAGGGTACATCTCCCAGCTCACCCCAGGGGCCAGGCGCGCAGCACAAGAGCCCCCCGCATCCCGAGGGGCCCCCCAGCCCCAATCATCTTCCTGCGCGCCCCCGCGCACGCGCCCAGAACCACTGGCCCTCGCCCCTCTACCGCGCGCCCTCCCGCCTCCACGCTCCCCTTCGCAACCCTTCTCTCAGGCCTACATGCCCGACTCCTCCACCTTCCTTCTCTGCCAAGTCGAGTCCCTTCAAGCCCCCTTCTCCCCTCACTCACCCGCTTCAAACAGCGTTTCCCGCCACAGCCTACGTCGCTGTGACCCCTGACTCCGGCGCGCGCAGGCTCAGAGCCGCCGCGCGCCGCCCTGGGCCACGCCCCTCCCGCCCAAGTAGGGCGAGACCACGCCCCGACAAGCCTTCGAGCCACGCCCCTCCTTTCAACTGGGCCTAAGCCACGCCCCGTCCGTCCAATTTAGGATGTTGCCTCTTCCTACTTTCCATATATTCTCGCCAAACCCCGCCCCGCCTTGAGAGAGGGGCCTGCTCCTAAGCCACGCCCCCTCCGACGACAGCTCGGCGGATTCCGGCTCTCGTTGCGCGCGGCGACGCGGCCGGCCCCGCTGTCCTCCCGGCCCCGCCTCCCCGCCCGCGGGGGCATCGCGCGTATCCTCGGCTCGCGGGCCTGCTTTCTGCGGAAGGCCAAGGCGAGAGGACAACTTGCGCACGGCCCTTCTTTCCGCTGGCGGAAGACCTGACGTCTGCCCTCCCCGTGTAGGGGAGGTCCGGTCAGCTCTGTCTCATGCCTCGGTTTCCCTACCTGTAAACTAGACTTAGCGCAGGGCGGGCACACCTGGGGGCGCCGGGCACACTGCTTGCAACAGGACTTCTCCTCGTAACTAGTCACTTCCCCACCTTACCCCCAGCTGCTCGAAAGAAAAACCGCACCTTTCAGTACACAGCCCATCCCTCCAAGCAACACCCCCTTCACTCTTGGCCAGGACTGTCCACCCAGCTCACTTCTGAGACCCCTTGGGAGCCTGGCACAGGAGAAGGAGGGACTAAGAGATGTCCACAGCCCGTCCTTACTCTGAAATCACCAGACTCTCCCACCTCCCAGACCTGGCATGCGCCCTCCCCTCAATTTGGGGGCCCAGCCCCCTTGTCATGGTTTAGGTTCCCCCCTGGGACATGATATCCTGTGTGAGGACTTGCCTGCCTTCTACTTCTGGGCTCCCATGCTGCCACGCGCTGCCTGCATTAAAGCCCCTGTTCCCTTCGATGCTAGCTGGCCCCATCCATCCCCCCTTTGCCAGCCCTGACTGGTAGCCACCTCCCAGGAGGGGCTTTATCTTGTTCTCTGGTGTTTCCAGTGCCTAAAATTGTGTTTGCCACATAGTAAGTGCGCCCCACACACGTTACGTGAATATCATCTGCATCCCCAGAACGGCCAGCACACTGCCCAGTGGCTTCAGGAAACATTTGGGGACTGAGTGCCTGACCCTTCATCCACTTAAGTGTTCTTTGTCCTTCAGCAGTCTCCAACTCACCTAGTACAGGAAGATGACCCCAAGGACGTCAGCCTCTCCTGGACACCCCACTTCCTCCCCCACCCCCGCACTCAGTCACATTACCCTGAACCCTCCACCAGCCTAGCAACACAAGGTTCAGGTGGCTGATCCCATCCCCCATACATCTTGAACTCACTCTGGCTCAGGGCAGGTTTCTATTCATACTTTATTTTCCTGTTTTTGTCTTTTTTTAGTTTTTATTAAATAAAAGGAACAGAGGGAGGGGGCCTGCGGTTTCTCAGGCTGTCAGGGAGAGCCACGGGCCCCCCACTCCCTCTGTTCAAGGTGCACTGCGCAGTGAGCTTGAGGTGTAAGCTGGGTGGGGAGGGCAGCCGGGAGTGCTAGGAGGGTCAGAGGTTGGGATCTAGGACCCACCCAGCCCTCCCAGGAAGACTCAGTGGGCAGGGCAGGAGCCTCCTGGACCCTAATGGGGGCTCACCCGAGGGCTGAGGGCTGGTGGGGCCAGGGCTTGTGCTATAAGCCACAAGATGGGACCCCAGGCCCGGCTCCTTCCCACTCCAGGAGGAGGAAGGGGCGACAACGTCCATGCGTTGGAGGGTACAGGGCTGTGGGGCAGGGCGGCCAGGCCCCTCACTCGTGGACATCCCAGATCTCAGACAGCAGAGGCGGCAGTTTCTTGTCTTGGAGCCGCAGGGCAAAGACCTGCTCTGAGTGCACAGAGCTCAGCGTGCGCAGGCTCACAAGCTTCATCAGCATCCGGGGGAAGCGCAGCTGGTCCTGCGGGGAGGTG